TGGCGGTGGCCGTATTGAGAAGCCCGTGCTGAAGGCCGGTAACTCCTTCTACCGCTTCCGCGGTAAGCGCAACTGCTGGCCGAAGGTGCGTGGTGTGGCCCGTAACCCCGTGGAGCACCCGCACGGTGGTGGTAACCATCAGCACATCGGTCACCCTTCCACCGTCTCCCGCCACGCCCCGCCAGGGCAGAAGGTCGGCCTCATCGCCGCTCGCCGCACAGGCCGTATCCGTGGTGGTAAGGCAGTGAAGGGCGCATGGCACCCGGATGAATAGTGAGTGACGTGTAAGAATGCCCGAGGAGCTCTTGATAAGCGCATGATTTTGATTGACTTTTATTTCTTTTAATTATTGTATACGAAAAAAAGGTGAAGTAATCCTTCAACCTTGATTCAAACTGAAACCGTTGGAATTCAAACTATAATTCTTAGATGAATCTCCCGTAAATGCTTTTCCCACTATTTTTTTTTCTTGGGGGGGGATATATATGCTTGTATTGGCGTTTAAAGAGATATCCTAGAAAAGGAACTCAATAGAGTTCATACTATTCTAAATGGTTTCTTCATACGACACGACAGCTGGTTCTCCGTGCCTTTTTCTACGCAGCCATGTCGAAACGGCGGGCTACATCTCAATTATTGCTGAATCTTTCAGGCCTAACTATGCGAACGTCCAACGTATGCTGGCGTCTCTTGCGGAACCCGTCTCGCGGCCTCTGTTGATTCACGAGTATCGCCTGACTCCCTTTTCTCTTGGGACGGCAGTGTCAAATGGTCTGAGGTCTGATGATGCCATGAATTTTATGCAGACTAACGTCTACGAACTTGGCAACCGAGACAGCCCTGAATATGGGAGCGTTAAAAACTTCATTGAGATGTGTATGCAACGCTATAACCTGGCGCGTATCGTCGTCGAGCAGGATCAGGCGATGGTTCAGTGTAAAAATATGGAAACTTCTGAAATGCTTTTGCAGGATTCTGTGATTCGCAGCCTTGCAGCAAAGCCAGTCGAGGTCCAACGTGGCACTTTTACATGGGGTGATGACACTGACACCTTCCTTTATTTCCGTCTGCAGAGTCGAGCCGTCTGCAAGGCGGTGGCCGCGCGTTGCGTGATAATCGGAATTCCTATTCAGCAACAGTACGAGTTTGAGCCTGACCTTTCGGTTCGGTCCGCGAACATTAACTTGCGTCCACAGACCAAACCGCGTTCATATCAAGTGGAGGCTTTGGAGGCTGCCACGACCGGCGGCATATTGAATAGTGGCTGCCTGTTGCTCCCTTGTGGCGCCGGAAAAACCCTTCTCGGAATCATGGTTATGTGCAAAGTGAAGAAGCCTACCTTGGTGGTGTGTGCTGGAAGCGTGAGTGTGGAACAGTGGAAAAATCAGATCATGGAATACGCTTCATTTGAGTCACCGCTAGACGCGTCTACTCTACCTATGGATGCCACGAGCCGCAGCACTGCACAAGTAAACGACGCCGCTCGGACGGGTACCTCCCGCATTGCGTGTTTTACAGGTAAACAGAAAGATGAGATCACTGAAGACACAGATGTAGTGATTACTACCTACAGCATGCTAGTGAGTGCTCACAAGGTATACGCACGCCGCGCAGCTCAGAAGCGTATCCTTTGTAACGATTCAGATACTCAGGAGGCATATAAGAGTCGAAAAGGCGTTCAACATCGAAATAGTATGAAAGAAAAACTCTTTTCTCCGTATGGTTTGCTGATCCTAGATGAGGTCCACATGATACCGGCGGATGCCTTTCGTGAGAGCCTAAGTTTTGTAGACGCAAAAGGAGTTATTGGGCTGACTGCTACCTATGTGCGCGAAGACCGGAAGATCCTGGACCTGTTTTACCTTGTGGGCCCAAAACTGTATGACGTATCGATGGAAACGCTTGCGGAACAGGGCTACCTAGCGAAGGTCAATTGCTTTGAAGTTCACACGCCCATGACGCGGGAGTTTGGGATCGAGTACATGGAACGGAGTGCACAGACCACGCGACTACAAAAGACGGGAAAGGCATTCGTGTTGGTAATGCTGGCCGCGGCTAACCCTAACAAGATGCTTTGTGTGCGTGAGCTGGTGTCTAGGCACCTGGATAGCGGGTCGAAAATTTTAGTTTTCTGTGACCATATTATGCTTCTCTACGAGTACGGTAAGCTCTTGGGCGCTCCAGTCATCAGTGGCAAAACGCAGCATCGTGAACGCCTCATGATTTTCTCGGACTTTCAGATAACGTCAAAAGTGAATGTGATTTGTGTGTCTCGCGTGGGTGATGTGAGCGTCAACCTGCCAAGCGCTAATGTTGTGATTCAGGTTTCTAGCCATGGTGGGAGTCGCCGTCAGGAGGCTCAGCGGCTCGGTCGCATTTTGCGGCCAAAAGAGAGAACCGCAAGCAGCAAAGCCGGCGAGGCGTGGTTTTATTCCATCATTAGCATGGATACTTTGGAGATGGGACACGCTGCACACCGCACAGCCTTCTTAGTGGATCAGGGATATGCCTGCCGCATTATGGCATACGACCCACAAGCTAGAGCACCCCGCGAGCCAAAAAAAGAAGGGCAAGGGTGTGAACAAGATACGGCAGACACCACCACCCGAAGTGGAGCCAAACCTATTAAGGATGACTTGGTTGGTGATATTGCGAGTATCAAACAAGAAAGTCTTCACGAAATCCTCGTCAGACCATCTCGACGGGAGCCCCATGGCCTCGCACCCACGAACTCACGACTGCACAGTGGTACAGAGGTAAACATCCTCTCATACCAATTACAGCTACTCTCGAAGGTGGTGTCCAGCTGGGAGCTGGAATATCAGAAGATGAGCCGAAAGCGCAAACGCGACGAGGCGGTGGATAGCACAGGCGACGGAGAATCACGAGACCACAGTTTGGGCGATGATGATGTTGTAGTGGTGGACGCGGAGGCTCGCAGTTACAAAGCAATAAAGAAGGAATGGAATGATCGATGCGGAGTAAGCAAGGCAGCTTTTTCAGACAAAGGGACGACTAAAGTGTTCATTAATGAACTTATAGGTGTCGATGACGGTTTTGTTTATCACGAATTGTAAAGTGTGCTCTATGTACACCAAATATTCATGATAAGTAATGCCTGAAATGATTATTTAATGCGATGTATCACTAAATTTTAGGACTGGGCTGTCGTTGTGAGCTTTCGTAAGATACATAGGGGAGGGAGAAGTTAGAACTTTTTCCTTTCAAGTTATGTGAAGTTGACCATTGCATAATAAAGAAAGCATACACACCAATTTTATTATTAATATTGCTATTTAAATCGTTTTTTCGTTGTTTTCACCGCCAATGAACAATTCCATTACTAGTAACATGACATCCTCATTTATTTTTGAGCTTCAGTTTTTCAACTTGATAGCTATCGTTTGATTATTTTAAAGTGATTCTCTTCATCAACTAGGTTATCAAGAGATACATCTCCCTTCGTTGAATTATATTAAATGGGCTGTGTTACCTGTTATTTGTTGATTTATGCTATCGTATGGATTATAAAGTGGCTTTATACTTTTTTTGGTGGCCGGCGGCTCCGTCCACAGCCCGTAGTGGCCGACCCTGATGAAAATAACACCGAAATTCCTAAGGAACAGCCTCCCTTGCCAGACTCAACAGGACTGCGTTCACGAAGCTCGAAGAAGGACTCAGATGCAGTATCTTGACCCAGCGGCGAATTACCTTTTGTTCATTTAGGGACCTAAACGGCATATAAAATAATCACAGACTACATTTTTTCCATTTGGAGGGAAGAGGTCTAGGTGGAGAATGAATCACGTTGATATGGTATTGGTCTCATTTTACACAACGCACTATTTACGGTGGCTAATACCGAAACTTTAGTGAGGTGTTAGGTTGTTATTATTGACTTCCTCGGGTCAGCATGATTTCTGTGGATAAAATTTAGACCTTGAAGAGGGTGAAAGCATGTTGTATCAAAAATAATTTTGTTTTCTCTCTGTTTTACCCCACCCACTTATTTGTATTTTGTTGAAAGTTTAGTAGTTTAATCGAAAATATATCTAGGGGAAAAGCTATCCATATTGCTCGACCACTAGTATTCATAATAACTGGATGTTAATATTGTGTAGCTTCATTGTTATTTTCATTAAGGCGATTCGCATTCCTTCCACTTTCAGCAGTGCGATTCTTACTGCATGTATTCTTACTTTTTCTTTTCTTTCAGACTAATAATTGTCTTTTTTTCTAAATTTTAAATGATCACATTCTTTCTTTTCCTAGCTCATCCATCCCTTATATAAAAGTTGTTTCTTACTTGGTACAGATTAGAAATATTGCTTTTGTCACGGTAGAGTATACAATGCATGAAGAAAATAGTGGTTGCTTAAGGCCCATGCCAGGTCCACAACCCGAGCTAGTCTTCAATATCAATTTGTTACCAACAGAACCTTATGCGAATCTTAACAATGAGGGGCTTCCCCTTCATTCCACAACATACAGTGCAAAACGTTGCCCACCTGCACGCTTCCAGGATGGATCAGTCTATATACAAGATTCCTGCGACGCAAGCAGCAACGGTGGGGGCGCTGCCAAAATTCGTAGTTTCGATATGAGTGACTTCACTCTTTCGCAGGTGTACACGATGGGATACCGCTCTTACTTACACAAGAAGAAGCAAACGGATGAGTCAACGTTTCACTTTCCCGCTGCTCCGCCGGACTTTGATGGGAGTGCTCCAACGAACCTTGAGGCGGTTGCTCAATATGTGGATAGACTAGCGATCGCCTACAAGAGTGTTCGTGGACTTCCTACACCATTTGATATGTATGATCATATCATCCTAGAGGCTGTTGATAATCTATCGAACACCTTTATGAATCAGATACAGCAAGCTAACAGCACTAATTCCCCACCTCCTCGGAGTAACGCCAGTTCGCATACCCCGCCTGGTTCATCTCCAAAAGAAGAATCATCATCTATTGTGTTGGTGGATCAAAAACTGTCTATGGAGTCCTTCATTGTGTCGCTTTCATTGTCTAATCTGCAGCGCATGAGCTGTCGGGAAATGAAAATTTTGTTCGACCGGTTTCAGGCTGCCCCTTACGTGGCTTCTGCCGTGGATGCTGACGTCGTCGCATCGGTTTTAACCGACTTCCACGCGATTCTTATGCGGGAGGAGACACCACATGACACGCAAAGCCATCTAATTTCACTGGTTGGCATGTTAGTAAGCTCGCGCAGTAATATTAACGAGGTTCTTCAGTACCTCAACATCTTGGAGGAGTTTCATACGACGTACGCCAACATTTTACCCATGTACGTTCCATTCGCATCCCGTATCATTGACACCTTCACGTTTCACTCGAAATCCCTCTGCCCTATTTTGTCCCCAATCGACTGCTTTCAAGAGGAGGACCAGAGGCTGAAGGTCAACTTGTCTGAGGGAACAACCATGCAGTGTTTCTGTGTGAGCTCTGATGGGAAGCTTCTCGCGGCAGCTACACTCAGGGGGCTGGAAGTATATGAAGTAGCCTCTGGCCTTCCCGTGGCCAATAGGGAGTCTGGTGCACCGGAGGGCGCCAAGAGCTACTGGAGTATAACCTTTTCGGAGGATTTGTCGAGCCTCATCTGCTCGGATATCGCCGGCCTTAACCACACCGTCTATACGATTCATTTGAATGTAATCGAGGAGATACACACAACTGAAGTATCTATACCACTTGATTACAAAAGCGGTGTGATGGTGATGCAAACGTCGCCACTTCTGCCCAGTGGAAGCAATCAATCTTTATATTTCTTTGAACTTGGATCTTCCTTGGCAGAGATAGAGTGCGCAACGAGCGATCCAAAGGAATCTTTCACAATGTTTGCACATGTCCATCAAGACTTTGTCGGCACCCTGGCACATTTTTTCACAGACAGTGGTGAAATTGTTGTGAGCGTCACGCGGTGTTGTTTCAAGCTTAGCCAGAACGGTGCCTCGTGCTACGGCATAGCCTCGAACAACTCTCCGTGGCTTTATGTACATGTTCGATGGCTTAAAGGGACGTGGTCGTTGGATGTGAATGCTGCCATCGTGGAGCTTTCTGGTGCGCGCAACGACCAGCAAAAGTCTCTGGTCATCCACAAGGTTTTGTGTTTCGAGGGTCTGGGGCACGTCGGGTCCTTTGCGCTGTGGCTGGACTCCGACGACGCCAGCGTTGTTGCGATGTACCGGAGGGAGCGGCGACTAGAGTCTGGCACTGCGCTTGTGAATTTTCCTTTGGATGAGGGTATGGGACTGTGGGTGAAGGAAACTGTGTCCTGTACCGCCTTCACGATCCCCGAAGCACACTGCGCCTGGGACGAGAACGTTCTCGTTCCCTGTATATCGTCACCCGAGGAGGATGTTCCTGGAAAGAAGTCCAACGTCTGTATGGATCCAAAGTTACTCCTCGAAAGCAAGACATTGTCAAGTAGCTTTAAGATCTACATGATCCTCCCCTCACGCGTCAAGGGGGGGGATGATATTGTAATAGTAGTTGATCGCGCCACCAGGAAGATAACCCGTGTCTCACACTGCCCTCGCTCTTGCTCGGAGAACATCTATGCGCTGCTATCGGACGAGTCGAAACTGTTTGTGTACCAGCAGCGTTTTTCAGCCTTCAGCTCCGTTCGTTTACATTCCATGCAGTGTAAACTGAGTGAGTTGGCCAGCAGTGGTCTTCTTGACGCAACTTTACCCGTCAATTCCATTCGCTGGTTTCGACATGAGTGGTACAAGAAAATTTACATGGAGGTCTTTGAGTTACATCGTATTCCTCTTGCGAACACGCCGCTGTCTTTTACGAATCTTTTTGCACTGGCGGACTCTTTTAAAAATATCAAAGCAAGTACCGATAAGCTCTATGTGGTGGCTATTCTCTCCCTGACGCTGGTTCACTTTCAGATGCTTATATCGGCGGATGAGAAGCATATCTCCAGGATAGCCACCCTATTGAAGAGTTCTTGCAAGCAAATAATGGAAATGTTCCCTGAAAAAATTATCAACGAAGCTGCGCACGAACTTCTAAACGCCGCAACCTGCAAGTCCCTAACTCTTAGCGATAAGGTACAGGCACTTCTCGACCCGGACATGCAACGCAGCGCCGCAACGCTCAAACTCTATGTCACGAAGGAATCTCTCTTCACACTCATCCATCACATCGTCACACACTCACCAGCCGTACTCACTGATGTGGCACGACGTCTGATATCGATGGCGCGAGCAGAGGCGGCATCCTCAAGCAGCACTGCTGTTGCAAAGCCCATTACACGACTCATGACGAGCTTCGTACTCTTGTGTGTGAAGGAGCTGATGGCGTACGATGGATTTGATGAAATCTCGCAGCTGGTTGAGCTTTTTGTTGAATTTGTTGAACAGGAGCTTCCAAAGGCGGGCACAGGTGTACAAATGCAGAACACCACTCTCCACACCGGATGCATCCCACTCTTCATCGTCGTGGCGCATTTTTGTCCATGGGTGTTGACACCAAAGATTGAAGAGGGCTTGCTGAACATCATGCATGCGCTGAAGGGAAAGTTTGGAGATAAAGAGGTCGTCAGCTTCACAACTCGCGAGGCTTGCTACGTATTTCCACCGAACCGCGAGCGAGAGGCGATGTGGCGCTTCGCCATTGACCTTTCAGACGCGAGTAGCGTGGCTGTGCAGAAGGAGTCACACATGCCGTCACTGAGCATCATCCGCAGCGACAGCACCGCCTTGCATCGAAACAAAATCGAAATGAGCCGAGAGCGAACCTTCTTGAAGTTGGAGGGTGGCCAACTAATTTTTTTTGGAAGCGGGGAGAACAACTTCACCATCAACGCACAGTTTGATTTTTGCGTTCCCACCTCATGGGAGAGCACGCTTAGTGATTGCATTCACAACCTCCTGGTATCCCACGCGCGCCACTTGATCCACAAGCCGAAAACCAACGACGTCTTTGTTCCCCCAATGCTGCGTCACGGTCTCAACGCAGACGCCTTGTGTCGCCACGGCATCAAGCTAGATATTAGGGAACCCCAAAAGACTACTTTCGCGTTCGATATTCTGAACAACGTCGGTGGCGGCAAGGCATTCGTAGACCAGGTGTATCAGAGTATGCGGGGCAGTATTGTACCTTCGATGCGTCCAGCGATCCAGGCGCTTCTTGCAATTCTCATCCATGCTGGTGTCAATGCTCAGCAGGCGGAAGATGAGCTCAAGCTGCGCTGGTTTAGCGGAGAGTGGGGTGTAAAGCTCCAGGGTCCTAATCGGGACGTCACGCGTACTTTTTTGAGCGACTTTGCGAATTGGTTTATCAGCTCTGTCTACTACCAGATGGAGGGAACGGTGGTGACGTTTCGGCGTGGCTCGTTCGATCGTCGGCTCGAGAACTCGTTGAACAACTCTAGGTCTATCTCAGAGCGGCACCGCTCCACCAGCTCCCGTCGAAGTATTTTCAAGCACTCCCAGCAGTCAGACACGTTGGACCAACTCAAAACGCTCTTCGCACGAGAGGTGACCCCAGCGGTGCTGGAGGCGGTCCTTGTCGAGCGCACGCAGGCGGCTCTCAAAATAGTACATAGCATTTCACTCCTGAGGAAGCTCCTCCGTCTGGAGGATCTCGAGCAGACGTCGGAGGCGTCTACGCTTTCCGTCCTGGACGTGCTATCGAGCTTTGTGAACGTAGAGAGTGGGACGCACTATATCGAAAGTCTTAGTGGTGCTGGGTTTGATTTGCAGATGCAGGTGCGCATGTCGTTGCACAGCGTCCTCGTGCGGTGCCAGGAGCTTCTGCTTGGGAGGTGCCCGAAGAATATCGCCCCACAGGCGGTGTTGACCGAGCGCGCTACCAACGGGACGGCTACAATGCAATTACTGAGCATCCTGTGTCACCCCTTTGACGCCCTCGACGCAGAGATTTTTAACGCAAACTTTGGTAACGAAAATGATGTACTTAAGCAACTGGAGAACCATATTTGCATTCTAACGACTAACCTTATGCAGATGAATCCGTGGGATCTGCACAAGGATAATGGCTCGGATTCGTCGGCGCTCGAGGACCGCGAGTTCCGCTTTGAACCCATGGGAGAGGTCGACTTGAACTCGATCAGTTGCATTTATCCAAATGACTTTACAATTGTCATTCCGCAGCTTCAAGCGTCTCGGTCTGAGGAGGGTGTTTTGATTGAAAACAATAATATCAATAGCGTTGAGCTTAGTGCTGATGAAGGGTGGCCACTCGCGTGGAAAGATGGTCTACCACGTGTCTTCTACTACGAAGTGAAGATCAAGTCTCTGGTTTGCAAGTTGGATGTAGGACTCACCGTATCGAGGCTAAGCTTTGGCATGGTAAGGTTGGATTCGCTTTATTTCTATAGCAGCTCAGGGGAGACGCATAGCGTTTCTTTTCCGATGTTCGGGGAGGACGACACTGTTGGCTGCGGTTTTATCTCGACAAACCGACGTATCTTCTTCACGCTGAACGGCGTGCTCCTGGGCCTCATGGACACTGTGCCAGACAAGCAAGACATCCTCTTTCCTACGCTACGCTTCAGTGAGCGATCTGGGGCCAAGGTGCTGGTGAATTTTGGCACTTCGACCTTTGCGTATGACTACCAGCAGCTGCACCCTGCACTAAATCTGAGGAGGGGGCCAACATGGTACCGTGTGGCCTCGACCGCGGCAACTACACTGCACCACATCGCCGCGCGCGCCTGTTTGATGCAAGAAGCGCGTAAATCAAGCGCTAGTGTTTTCTTAACGCACTGTTTCGAGGTAGTATGCCGAAACGTGAGCAAAGTGACGACATTCCTTATGAATACAGGGATTGGCAGCGCCGACCATTCCGACTCTCATACACGTATCAAGCAGTCCGTTATCTTTGCTGTCGCGGAGTATTCGATTATGCTTCTCATCGCCACCATACGGCATATCGTCAACACCGGCGCGCTGTACAATCCTCTACCTGAGGTGGTCGGTGAAATGATCTTTGACGCGGTGTCGGTGCTAATGTTGCTGCCACTGCGTTCGACTCAGGTAGCGGTCATCAGTGTGTTACCGGAGATTATTCCACATGTTCGTCATCAACCCGATGGAAACGCCCTAGCAAATCTTGTCCGCACCCTCTTCCGTCATGCTAACGATCCCGCAGCGGAGTCACCCCATATCATCCCTTTTACGCCGACGTGGTGCGAGTGCGACCCGCGCTTCATGTCCATTGTGAATGTTCAGTCTGCCTGCATGAGTCCTGAGTCTCAGCGCAGTATCGTGCTTGGGAATGTGCTACCCCGGACCGGTGTGGTCTCCTTTTCCGTCAAGATTAACCGCCGTAACATGTCCAAGGGTCACTCACTTAAGGGAGGATATTTTATAGGCGTGTCCGTAACCCGGTTGAGCCCGCTCTCCCCGACAAGCAATTCCCAATCCTGGAAGACCGTGAAACCACCCATTGTGTGGGCGATGCATGACACCTCGCCCCAGCTCCCGCATGCCACCAACCCCATCGTCAAGGCAAACAACTTCCAGCGGACGTTTGGTAACGACGACATGATTCGCGTGGTGGTGGACCGTGATAACCGCACCGTCGACTTCTACCGCGACGATGAGCTGTTAAGAACGCTCTTTAGCAATCTGCCCGCAGATATCGACCTCGTCCCATTCGTCCAGCTCTACAACGATGACGCCTCCGTGACCATCTACCCGGGAGAGATGACGTCCCCGATCTCAACCTCCACCCTTCTCAGCGCCGCGTCCGTAGATGTTCTTCGTGCGATGCTGATGTTGGAGCCGTTCCAGTTCTTGGTTGCGAAAGGGCTTTGCAATGAGCTGGATATGCACGCTTACCCTAAAGTGACCTTGGCGCTCTTCAATAGTTTGCCAGATCGGCGCATGTTGCAGCTGCGGAGTCGCACGGGAGAGGAGTTTTTCATCACGGTAAGCCGCGTTGGTGACATGCGGTGTAAATTTTCGATCGGGAATGAGGCGAATTACGAACATCTTTACAACCTACATACCCCCGCTAACCCAAAGATCACGTGCTCTTTGGACACTCAGAATCTGTCTGGTTCCTCGGGCGGGTTGGCATTGTGCATCGGGAGGCTTGTGGCGGCTGTGCGGCGTATTGTGCTTCCATTTATAACAACTCAAGCACTGTCCGCTCTTGAGCATGAACAGCGTTTGAAGATTATTGATGAAGAAAAAGAGCGGTGGGATTTTCTGTTCCATGGCCTGCGCGTCGGCACCTTCATTAACATCCAGCGTAGCTCACAGATGAAGGCAATTTTCCCGACACCCAACACTCCCATCGACTATACGTTTTCGGCAGCAATGTCGCATCCGAGCTTCTCTATGCCACGGACGTATTGTGGCCGACTAGCCACCATTCCGAGCGGCTCTGAGAATATCACAACTCCTTTTATCACTATCGCCGATCCAGCCGTTCCGTTGCAAGGCACATTTAGTATCCGCTGTCAGTTGATCCGCGGTCACAACGGACAAATTCTTGGTGGAGGCTATTACTTTGGGTTGTGCACATCATCATTTAACTGGAAACGCAAAGATCTCAACAGTGGTGTTCCCGAGGTGTGGGCTATACATGACATGGACGACGCTCCGTGGCGCTTGCGACATTTTAGCCCCACCTGCACCCTGCCGATAGCAGCGGATCCTCGGTGCGTTATTGTCAGCGGGGACATCATTCGTTTGGAAATTAACCGAGACGAAGGTACCATGCGCGCTTTCCGAAAGCCCTTCGATGGTGATGAAATTAGCTTTGGCATCATTTTTGACAACCTTCCTAAGGGAAATCTTCACCCTTTTGTACACCTCTTCAACATGGACTCCGTTGCTGTGCTATTACCCTCTAAAAATATGGATTCGGCCTTGCGCTTTACGGTCCAGCAACCCCTCTTCTCGACCTATTCCTTTAATGAACGTCGCTACTGCGACGGCTGCGCGGCGCAGCACGTGGAGTCACGCCTTGGAAAGCAATGGTACAAGTGTGTAGAATGCGCGGACTACGCCCTTTGCAAGGACTGTTTCGATCTATGTGTCCATTCACATCATACATTTACAGATATGGGTGCTTATTCCCTAGTGCACACCAAAACCCCACCGAAGAAAATCATCAAAGGAATGCAAGTAGTGATCCCATCTACAAGTTGCATGTACCTCCGCAGCAGCGGGTGCCGCATGGATGAAGAATGTATCAACTGCGTCGCTGAGTCGATCGAGGATAACAGCTTTGCTATATGGGGATTGGTATGCAAAGGACGGGCTCACTTCACAGCATCGATTGAGACTCTTGACAATAGGCCACTAAGGGCCGATCGTCTTGTGTTCATCGGAGTGGGCTTGACGAATGAAATTATGCAACTTTCACGTGAAAAATTGCTCAACAGGTGCTTTACTCCATCTTCGTCGATTCTGACATACTGCAACTATTACTCAATGCGGCGCAGGGTCAACGGTGAAAACCGCCACTCGCACGGCTTTGATAACGGCTCAACTATCACGATTGACATTGATGTCATAAAAAGGACTGCAACGTTTATTCGTGACTGGATTGTGGTGGATACATGCCCTATCGAGTTTCTGACCTCGGGATCCAACCATTATGTTGCCCTCTGCTTCTTTGTCGTATTCGAGAAGAAGGGTGTGAAGATTATGATCAGGCCAGACAGTGGGATGACTATGACCGCTCGTGTGGAAGAAGCAAATGGAAGCATAGTCAAAGTCAGCGCTCCAGACTCGCGGATTCGGTATGTAACTACAGAAAACTGTCGCCTGCCGCTGCGGCAGTGCGAGGTGGCGCCAGCTATAGGGAGGCTAGGTTACACTTATATCGATAAGCGTTTGGTTCAGTGCCGCGTAGTGGCTTTAGAAAAGGGAGAGGTGAAGCTGCGCTTGGTTAAAGATGACTGTATACACAAGGTTTCTCTTTATCACTTTCTCGTTGACGAACACGATGCCATCGCCGATGAGCACCTTATTCAAAAGGAGTCCGACGAGAATGGTGCGACGTTGTTGGATGGCTTTGTTGTATCACGACTGCTTCTGATCTTATCTTGTCTCTGCGAAAAAGAAGAGCTCTCACCTCTGGTCATACAGCACGGTACGGAGTTGATCAATCTGATCAAGGGTTTGGCTTCCGTGCAGATAAGCAACTATACGCCACTCAACTTTCTAAGCGAGATTCGTACCCTTATAGCAGAAACCGCGAGCGCTGTGCAATGGTTCAACCCTACACAGCGTCTTGGATCTTTTGTGCCAACCCTTGGGATCGACGATCGTAAGCGCCGGTTCAAGCCAGGCATGCTCGTTCAGTGCACCACCACGGGGGGCTCACAAGAGGTTTACCGAGTAGTTTCGCGAAAAGGGGAAATGTTGACGCTGGTGCACCTAATGACATTGGAATCCATGGAGATACCTCACAAAAATTGCATCCCGGTAAAGCAATCTAATGGAAAGCCGTGGTACAAGGTGAACAACGGTCTTCCTTGCAGTTTCCGTGAGCATACGATTCGGTTGACGCAGCCCAATTCTGGGAGTCGAAGCGTCTCGATCGAGGGAGTGTGGCAGGGCGAGTTTGCCTTTCCAAAATCTAAAGCTATTTTATTTGATATGACGCTGGACAACAGTGGAACTGGCACTGCGCTCTTAAACATCCATGGTCATAAGGTTGGATATCGCGCCATTTACGGCCACATCGAGTATCAGCGTATTGTTTACCTGTGCTTAACACGAGACGATCCTCCTGGTAAAAATACACCTTACCAGATAGTCAACACCGAAAATGTTGTTTCCTATGTGAGGAAGATGCATCAAGTGATGAGTGCGCTCACTCTTTCTGACGCTACTGATTGCTACATGGCAGAGTTAAGTGTAGATGCAGAAGGGTTATGCATGAGTGGTGTATGCTGTCATTCGAATGGCAAAACCGGCAGCTTGGTGTGCTACTGCCCTGACCGCCCGTTGCTTATATCCAGTCATACTGACATGGCACATATCGAGCCACTGCCAGACTGCGTTGATACAATTACCATGACTAAGCCATTGAGGAGTCTCAGTGAAACGATACACCGCCTCGTTATTCTTCTTGCGCGTCACCTTTACCTGGTTATCTGCAGTAAGAAGAACATCATCTCTAGGGAGCTTGTAGAAAATGTTTTTCTTTTCAACACGCATCCACTCACAGATCGATTGATCACCCGCTTTGTAGATATTCATCAGCTGTTTTTGATGATATCTGATGCCTCTCAACGAATCACGAATCCTGACGTTAAGCCGTGGGACGCCGCAACGCTTTCGACCCTCATCACCAAGACCCTCCTCCTGCGACCTGAGTCATTGACTAAAGCGCCACAAAGTCTCATTTGGGATTCACTTCACGCTGTTGTGGTGGCGATGCACCGCTGTGGGTGTCAGTTCAGACACGATATTCTGCGGAAAGTGACCGCCTTCGTGCGAAGTCATCGGGATACTGAACAGAGGCTATACTGGCAACTCTTCGGCGCTCTTGTGACCTACTTTGACCGCAACACCTTCTCTTCGACTGCGCGATTGGATGACATACATAAGGATGTTGCGGCAGGTGTCGACCTCATCTTAAGCTTCAGGCCGCAAGAACCGTGGCACCTGCGGAATATCCCCACACAGCCTCTGCACTGCTTAGTGGACCTCTGGCGGTCCCTAGTTGAAGACCGGCCACTCCCTCATGTGGTTGACGAAACAAACGACCCTCACGGGGATAGTGATCTCAACGTAGACGTGGTCTGCGCCTTCGGTGATTATAGCGACGAGGAGCTTAAGGTGGGGAAGGTTATGAGCTCTATTTCGGCAGTTCGTTCTGGGCAATACTACTATGAGGTAATTCTCCCTGACCGTCTCATTAGTCCATTTGCTGTGGGGTGGGGCACCCAAGCTCATTGTGAAGTGCCTAGTCAACACGTTGGTAGTGATCGCACTAGCTTCTCCTTCAACGGAAGCGAGGTCAGCACGAAGGACACCAAAGAGGATTACAAAGTCGCGCAGGAAATCACCCCCGGCTGTGTGCTTGGGTGTCTCCTCAGGATGGAAGAACAGGTTGTCGCGTGGTCCATTAATGGCACCCTTGGGCCTTTTATTTCTATCCCTATCACGCCTAGCGATAAGGGCCTCTATGCGTTCGTGTCCACCGGGATATGCAGCGGACTGCGGGTGCGGCTGCGAGCCAGCGAGTTTGAGTTTGTGCCTGATGGTTACACGGATCTAGCGGGGCATTACACCCGTGTCCTGATCGCGACCTATGACGAGTCCGTCCGCAGCAGCCTGCCAGTTCAGAGTCTGTCCTTCTACAGCCAGGTTGCCTCCTACTACTCAGATGTCACGGAGTACAAGAAGGAGGATAAGAAAAGCCTAATGGAGGCCTCTATGTCGGCCACCTTCATGCTGCGAGTCGCCGTGAACAATTTGTTCCTCCCAAAGTACCCGGCGCTTGTAGGGTTGTCCGAGGACACGCTGAAGGCGCACGAGCGCGTGATCGAAACCGTTGAGAGTTGCATGGCAACTGCGAGCCGCTTTGTAGACCTTGACAGCGACGTCATCAGTGGAACGCTTTCTATGGCTTTCTTATACCTAAAGCCATTGGTGCGGCGTTCTTTCCGCCAGAAGCTTCTCATCAATATCCCTGGCGTCGAGAAGGCCACGTCGCCGCCAACCATCTCCATTCGTATCACCGAGCTGTTCTCCACATTGCCACGAACCCCTGATGTCGCACTCCACCACACCGTTCTTTCGCAGCTATATAGACAGATTGGGGGCTTTACCGAAGAGCAATGGTCCCAGAGCCCGCTTTTCAAGGTTAATCTCTACATCAGCGGCTCAGGGCACGCACCGATTGACATGGGTGGGCCTTACCGCCAAGTATGGACTTTTCTAGCAGAGGAGCTTGTGCGTCATCCGGATAAGTGCTATCCACATTCTGATTTTCATCGAAATCCGCTCTTCTGTTTTGTAGACAACTCGCAGAGGGTGTCGCTTGTGCCAGACAACCTAGCCAACTCATCACTCGAGCTGACCTTGTTTAATTTCTTTGGTAAAATCATGGGCCACGCCGCGAGGGCTCACCTTCCATTGAATATCGATTTCTCTCCATTTCTTTGGAAATTTTTGGTTGATGATGCACTCAGCGTTAAGGACTATTATAAATATGTCGACGGCGTCGTCGAAAATAGTATGGAGGACGATAATTTTCTTTTGAGCGGTGTAGCGGAGGAGATTATTCCCAACTTCGCTGAAAACGTCATGTGGCTCGATGAAGAGGAGCTTAAAGGACAAAGGATTGTTGAGCATCGGCGCCGCATTGCAGAAAACTGCCTTGTCCATTCTATGGACGAGCAACTGAATGCCATACGCTGTGGTTTGTGGAGTATCTTGCCCCGCCGAGTTGTGCGTTGTCTGTCATGGTGTGATCTAGAAAGATTAGTGTGTGGCGAAAGCAATCCCACTATTAAGGAACTGAGGCGTTACATCCACACACAGCTGAACCCGGTGCGGGAGAAGTACTTCTGGAAAATATTGGAGGAGTTCACTGCGGAGGAAAAGGCTGCATTGCTTTGCTTTTCCTCAGGGCAGCGCCGTCTACCCCTTATTCGGCAGATTATTATACAAGAAAATAACGAAAGTGTGGAGCACTTGCCACGTGCTCAGTCGTGTTCATCTCTTGTAACTATACCACCCTATACTTCTCTGGAAATGTTTCGTGAAAAATTACTCTTAGCTTTACAGCATCAGGATGAGATGGAGTTGGCGTAGGTATGTGATGTTTCTGAGGCAAGCAAACAACCCCCCTAAAAAAAAAAATGGCTAATGACTTCAGGTGGGAAGGTGTTTCTTTTCTACAGCAACACCTGAACTCCGGAGAAAAAGGGATGTTCCGTGTTTATTTGAATCGCTTTTTGGCCGGAGTTCCTTATTACTGCATACATTTCGCGGATTATGGTTATGTGTCTGAAGAATAGAGACTTGCTTACATAATATTTCTTTGTGCCGCCATGCGCGCACGTAACGAAACACCCACATAGAGCAAAGTATGAATAGTGAGAGAAGTTGGGGAAAATAAGTACCACTATCGGTTAGCTTTTTTGTTTCTATACCTTAACAGAATGTGTATTTTCTCCATCTTCATCTCCTTTTTTTTCTTCAGGGCTGTTTTTTTTGGTTTCCTTCTTTTCGAGTTTTCCCTTTGTGCCAAATTGCTTGAAAAAGTGAAATTTTCTAGAATATGAAAGTAAACAAAGGTTGATATTTTTGCTATTTGGTTTTAAAATACACAAAGAAATGTGTGCGTAAGCGATGTGGATACACAAGCACATGCATTGACTGATGCCCACAATAGATAAAAAGGCGTAATACTTTTGTGAATATTTCATTTTAAAAGATCTATTTGAACTGCATCATTCTGTATATACAGGCCTTGTTATGCTGTATGGGTTAATAAACATAATTTTTCATTTCTGAACGTCTATTTTGCCATACCTTTGCACTGCTGTTCTATTTGCCCCTTGCTAACTTTCTTTGTTTCTTCCTTTTTCTTGTTGTTATTGCTTAAAGGAAGTATTTGAGGTGCCGGAAGTGGCATAAGGTAATGAAGGGAACGGGAAGGAAAACAGCACTGCGAAGTCGGCCTTCATTCTAATAAACCTTGATGACCACAAGAGGAAAATCTCCACTACCATTTATCCTCGCCTCAAGTGGTGCACGAACATGGCAAGAAACTCTTGAAATGTACAGCAAGTGCTGTACACATCTGAAAGGCATATATAATCCTTCCATTATGGAATTGAAATACGGGTTTTCTCAGATGCCCGACTCTCGGGCAACTACACTCTTTTACTATTCTATTGTGAAATGTGTCTACGGCGACCGTAAGCCCGATCACACATTAGCGACCATGGCGATCAAAAAATTCAAACGAAGCGGCAACCTTGCTGCCATGAAAAGGGTATTTGAGGAGGACATCGAGGCACATACCGCTCAAAGTGCGCAGGCCACGCTCATACTCGCGTGCTCGACGGGGATGTGGGAGCGGGCACTCTCGCTGATGAGAGCGCACCCATATCTAGCTCGTAATATCAGCAACCAACACATTCTCATCAATGTCCTTTGCAGTTCTGGGCGGCTAAGCGAGGCGCTCGAGGAACTCCGCAGGTTTCACCCGGTGATGGAGGTACCACCGGTCCTGATCCGACCTATCATCGGGAAGCTTTCCGCGGATGGAAATCATCGGCAGGCATTGAGGCTTACCGCTCTTGCCCTCGCCGGGGGGTATCCGCTAGACCGGTCACTATTTTCCTCCCTCCTTCAGTCATTACGGGAGACCGGTCAGTGGGAAGCGGCACTGGAGACCGCACAGTCCCTCGACTTGTTTTCGTCTACAAGGTTGCAAGCACAGAGAAAGTTCGAGTTATTTGGAAAACTAGTCGACTGCATGTATGATGCAGATCCTTATGGGGACTATACCGTCGAAGAGGTGGTGCGCGAAATGCTTTCGCGGATGAGTCCGAAGGATTTCGCGCTCCGAACTTTGGTCAAGCAGCAACAGTTTCGTCTGAAGACGCAGTCGGAGATTGGAAGACAATTTAGCACCTTTCTGCCGCAGTTGAACGACATTTTTGCCAAGGTTTTGTCAATTCCGAGGTGGTACCAGCGTAATTTAACCGTTCTCGTGGATGAGGCAGAATCCAGCAATAGCGTCATCCTGGTGTTGGACACAAATTTTGTGCTTCAATCAGTCACCAAAAATTTGCCTCTGGAGCACTTTTACCATAATATAAGAAAGCAGTACCCTCACCTGGAAAGCGAGCAGCGCAAACTGGCGATTGGCGTTGTCCCGTTCAAGGTCGTGCAGGAGGCGTATCGCGTGATTTGGAGTCCGAGAACCCATCTGTGTCATTTTATAAAGTTGTTGTTATGGTCTAGAGTAACTTCACTGTTGCGGCAGAACAACATACACGTGCTTCCACTTCCGTTAGAGTTCCAGACATCCTCTATGTCGATCATAACAAGAATGGCGTATCACAAGGCTTTTGGGGACGAGTCCGATACGAGCAGCCGTTATGACCCTGATCGACGCATTCTAAATGTTTGCCTCTACCTACAGTATTTGTTTCGCAGCAAAAAGGCCTGCAGGCTGTGCGGTTCATCTATCCCGGAAGGGACGCTTTTGTTCTCGTTTCTGAAGTATCATGTCCGTCGTTTCGATAACACGGTGAAGGGTAGCGCGACAGACGCGCTTATATTATGCACGATGGATAAAAAATTTTCCCGCGCAGCATGTGAGGCCGGCTTAGACACCTTCCCTACATTAGTGCGAAACGAGTAATTGGCTTTAGATGATGGCATGACGTTAGGGGGCTAAAGTAAAAGGGGGGCGTGGGATCTTTTTTACATTGCTCAAAGAACGTTTCGGCTTCACTTCATTTGAATTTCGTCCGATATGGTTGCTGTTCAATTTCGTATGCTACATGTCATTAGCATATTCACAATATATATATATATATATATATATATATATATATATATATATATTGTAGTAGTACG